CTCACACTGCACGCCCCTCCCAACCTCCGCAATCAGAGGACGCTCAGTGGGCGGGGCGGGGCCGGGCTTGGCCCTCTTTAGATTGGGCCAAAATAGGAAACCATCGAGGGGTGGTCCTCCTGGTTCCTAGAGCAGAGACGAAAGTGTGCCGGCGAGGGAGAGCTGGCACTTAGCCGAGAGCTAATACCGTATTTGAGAGCGTTTGGCTCCTTCTGCGGGTCCTTGGCCGGGTGAGTGGTCACTGGTCTCCGGCCTAAGGCGGAACTGCGGCCCAGGGGTCTTGGGAGCAGGTGGTTCCCGCCGGTGCAGGGAATCCTTCTCCAAGCGAGGCATTGCGAGCTGGGGGCGGAGCCCGGGCCGGGAGGTGTCTTATGGGGCACGTGAAAGGGGTGAAGCTGTGGATCTAGTTAGCAGAACACAATTTAGTATTGCTAATTTTCATCCATTGAACACAATTTTAACTAGGTATTCAAAGCAGGCCTCTCTGAAAAGGTAGTATTTGAGCAGCAACGAAGGCGGTGAAAACACCCATGTGGCTTTGGGGGTACGAGCTCTGAAAGCAGGGGGACAGCAGTTGCAAAGGCCCTAAAGCTGGAGCTTACTTCGCATATTCAGGATACAGCATAGATACCAGAGTGGCTGGGGCGGAGTGAGCAAGGGTAAAATTTGTAGGAGATGACAACGGAGAGATTTGGAGAGAGCGTTTAGAATAAATGTGCATGTATTGTGCAAGGAATTTGGCCTTTTCGTTGGAGTGAAGACTCATTGAAGGGTTTTGAGGAAAGATCTCTAGCTGGGAACTCATAATGAGAATAGATTATAGGGGAAGAAGAATAGAATCGGAAATTTTGGAGACTTGCAAGTAATTCAAATGGGAGACAAGGACGTCTTGGGTCAATATTATGGTAGAAGTAGTTAGAAGTCGTCAGATTATTGATCTGCTTTGAAGGTAGAGCCAACAGGGTTTGCATTGGATCAGATGTGGTGTGTGAGAATATGAGAGAAGGCAAAGATGAATCCCAGGTTTTTGGCCTGTGGATGGAAGATATTGGTGGAAAGATTGGGACCTTATGTAGGTTAACTCTGCATGTCTCAGTTTCCTTCTCGCTGCAATGAAGTTAGTAATAGTATCTTCTCCATAAGGTGTGTGAAGATAAAATGAATTAATATATGTAAAGCATATAGAACAGTTGTGCTGGCTTATGCTTTTTACTATTATTGAGACATGAAATATGAGTGGACATTAATGAGAAGAAAATTGGAAGATTCAAGAATGTTCCAGGCAGTAGTAGTAAGATGTGTAAGGACCCAGGAGCAAGAAAGTATTGCAAGTTTGAGGAACTGAAAGTGGTTCGTTAGATCATAAGAAAATTTTAAATCATATTATTTGGTTTAAACAGGATCCTAGGGGTAGTGGTGAGCCATTAAATGTAATACACATGGCATTAAATGTAATACACACGTATTTCTGCTTTAGAAAAATCATTCTCTGCAGTATGGAAAATAGACTGGTGTATCAGAAAGACCAATCACAGTAGTCTGTGTAGGAGAAGGTGGTGGAAAAGGAGATGAGAGATATTTAGGCAATAGAATCAATAGAACTTGATTGATCAATGCACAAAATATGAAAGGACAGGGGAAAGGTCAGTTTTCTGGCACAAATGACTGAGTAGATGGAGCTCTCCCCAAAAACAGTTTATCAAATTACTTATTATATGTTGTGTTTGCTATATTTAATCACACCATAGATATGAGCCACCACTAATTCATCGTCCTATGCTTTATACCAAACATTTATTTTCTGGTTAATAATCATATCATCACTTTTAGGTCCCTAGGTGGTGCAAATGATTTGCACCAGACTGCTAAACTGAAGATTGGTGTTTTGAACCCACCCGGCTGTACCAGGGAAGGAAAGGCCTAGTGATCTGCTTCTGTTAAATTACAGCCAAGAAAACCCTATGGAGCAGTTCTATTCTGTAACACATGGGGCCGCCATGAGTTGAAATCAACTCAATGGCAACTAACAACAACAATCATCACTTTCTTGGACTTTTTCACCTCCATTAAGAATAGTAGGATTTGACTTCTTAATTTTAAGTCCATTTTTTGACAAAGGAAAAAATTTATGAGCTGGGGAGTGTTACTATGTATACAAGCAATAATACATAGCAGCAGTATTCATTTGGAGCATAGCCAGGCACAACCACTAATTGAGTGGGTCTCTCCCCAACACACACACTGATGCACTCCGCACACTGATTCAAAGGCATGTGTCAGTAGTTGGCAGGATGTTAATTCACTGATCTTTAGAGTCACTCAAGAGTAGTCAAAACCAAGAATGCTAAATCCTCACCCACATAACCAAGGGCCTGGTCCAAGGGATGGTGGTATAGTACCATTCTCTGAGTTCATTTTTGACATGTTGAATTTGAGAGGTTTTTGTAGGATAGCCAGGTACCAGATAGTCAAAAGGAAATACAGATCTGGCACTCTTGAGAGATCTGGGCTGAAGAATAAGTAAATCATCAGCTTAAAGATGGTAATTGAAGTCACAAACATACTTATTCTCTATATTACTGGGCTCTTTCCACCACCCACACTTACAGAAATTGACCTCCTTGGCCTTCTGGACACTACTGTTTCTGTTCTCCTACCTCTCCTTCTCACTTCTTTTCCTTACATGTAGGTGTTTCCTAGGGTTTCAGCTCCACGTAGCCTTTTCCCAGCCGTAACTACTGCCCTGAATGTTCCAGGCTTTCCAATAGCTCTGTACTCAGATTATTCTCTCTGTTTGGAAAACCCTTTCCCCATTTCTTTGCCTGACTAACTTTCAGTTGTCTGTTAAGACTCAGAAGGACTCACCTCCAGGAATTGGGAATTAGGTGCTTTACTTTTGTGTCCTGCTAGCATTCTCTACCTACCTTCATCATGGCATTTTATACACTGAATTGCAGTTGCTTATTCACCTAATGTTTCTTGAGAAGCAAATTGGTACTAGAGGCCAGGAATTTGTCTTTCATCTCTGGCACATAGTAGACCAACAGTCTACTGTGTCAGGCATGTCTGCCACAGAGTAGACCATCAGTAAATGAGATAAGTTGTGAATATGTTCTTTCAGTTAATTCTAGTGATTGGATTTAATTAATATATAAGTAGTTATGTTTATTTTGTGTTTTTTTTTTACCTCAACTTTTTGAGAATTTTCTTATCTACAGAAAAGTTGAAAGAATAGTACAATTAATAACTATATACCCATGTCTCAGCAATTGTGAACTTCCTGCTGCATTTGTATGCACACACTCTCTACACGCACACTTTTTTTATGAAATATTTGAAAGTAAGTTTTTAGTATGCATCTCCTAAGAATAAGATTATTCTGTTAACCTCAGTTGCCATGAGACCCAAAGAACTGCATGGTGCCTGGCTACCATTACTGAACATTTTGATCAGAGATTCTATGGAAGAGTCCTGATCAGAAGGGGGAAAATGCAGAACAAAATTTCAAATTCTTATAGACTCTAGACTTTCTGGAGCCATAGGGGCTGGATGAACCCCTGAAACTATTGCCCTGAGATAATCTTTAAAACCTAAACTGAAAATATCCCCTGAGGGCTTCTTAAAACCAAACAATAATTTAGCGTAACTAATGAAAAATGTCTGCCTTGAGCATTATGCTGTTTTAAGAAATATATATGGGATCAAAGTGACAACAGCAACTCAAAAGATAAGATAGGAACCTTAGGGACAGTGAGTTTATGTTAATGGAGGAGGAACAACTCAGAAAAGGAGGGTGAGAATGGTTGCACAAGTTGAAGAATGTAATCAACATCACTGAATTGTACATGTAGAAACAGTTGAATTGGAGTATGTTTTGCTGTGTATATTCTCAACAACAACAACAAAATAAAAATAAACTATATGTTTATATATATATGTATACATATATATGAATATTCTCTTACATGACCATAAAAACATTACCCTACCTGAGAAAATTTTATACCAGGGATCAGCAAACTTTTTCTGTAAAGGGCCAGATAGTAAATTTTTGGCTTTGTGGATCATACCATGTGGGTGGAAACTACTCATATCTGCTGTGGTAGTGAAAAAGCAGATGTACACAGTATGTAAACAAATGGATGTAGCTGTGTTCCATTAAAGCTTCCAGGGCTGTATTTGGCCTACTGGGCTGTAGTTTGCCTGCCCTGTTCTAAGATACCATTCTTATTTATATTTTCCTAATTCTTCAAAGAATTATTTTCTCTTTTTAATCTAAGAGCCACATTTCACAGATTGCATTTAATTGTGTCTCTTAAATCTAGAACAGTACCCTCCCCACACTCTCTTTTTATTTTCATGAAATTCTTTGTTTTAAAAAGTCCAGGCCTGTTATAGAATGAGCTGCATTCTGAATTTATCTGAAAGTACCCTCATTATTAGTTTCATGTTAAATATTTTTAGTAAAAATGCTGCACAGTTGATGAGGCAAATGATGTCAGATTGTCTTATTATTGGGGTTGCTGAGTTTGATCATTCGGTTAAGTTTGTGACTTGGACGTCTCTATTTTTCCCTTTGTAATTAGTAAGCAAGCAGTGTGGTGATATTTTGAGACTGAGAAAGTCCTGTCCCCTGCTCATTTTGCTCATTTTACCCAGTGATTTTAGCACCGTTTGTTCCTTGACTGAACTATTTCATCAGGGCTATAAAATACTGATTTTATAAATCTATTATTCCTTCTACATTAGTTAGCAATCTTCTGTAAAAAAGAGCTTTCTTATTTTGTATGTATGTTCCTTTTTTAGAAATAGTTGTGAGGAGAAAAAAATGGATAGTAGCAATCGGGAATGTATAAAGCCAACAAAGGATATTACTATTGTTGTTATTATTGTTACTACCACTATTACTGTTTCTGGTTAATGTTGTTGTACTTTTAGGAGTATCCCTGAGGAGACAGTCAAAAGAAAGTTATCCAGAACAGGGCAATCTGAAGCTGGGGATGGCAACAGTATTGGTGAGTGCTCATTCCTTGGCTTCCCTGAATCTGAAGAAAGAGGGGCTTTGGTGGTGAGGGAGGATCACTTCTCTGCTTGGAAACAGGGATTCAAACTGCAAAGAAACAGCAAAGGTCTTGGACAGGAGCTGTTGTGCAAATGATTCAGACAGTTGTTCTATGAAGAGACCACAGGACCTCAAGAGATGCTGAGCCAGCTCCGGGAACTTTGCCATCAGTGGCTGCAGCCTGAGACTGACACCAAGCAGCAGATCCTGGAACTGCTGGTGTTGGGGCAGTTCCTGACTGTCCTGCCTAAGGAGCTCCAGGCCTGGGTGCAGGAGCATTACCCAGAGAACAGGGAGGACGTGGTGGTTGTACTGGAGGATTTGGAGCTAGAGCTTGGAGAAACAGGACAGCAGGTGGGAAGGGTCAGGTGTGCTTTTTTGCAGAAAAGCAGGAATTGAGACCTCTGATCAGAGAGGTAGACATGAGCTCACCAGTGGGAGGAGAATTGCTAACTTTGGTTCAGTTTCTTTTCAGTCTGGCTGTTCATTTCTATCGTTTTCACCTCAGCCTTACCTGTTCCCTAATGGGAAGAAACAGAATGAGCTCCAGATTCCCCAGTCCATTGCCTTTGCCCCTCTGTGGTTTCTCTTTGTTCTCTTTTCTAACATGGAATTATTTTTCTGAACAGCAGTTCCCTCCTAAGCCCACTTGTACCTAATTGTCCCTAGGACTCAGACCAGGCAAAGAAACAGAAAAGGCTTGTGGAGGAGATGGCCCCTCTGAAAACAGTGCAGGAGCAACAGGTCCAGCTCAAGTATGAAGTCCCAAAGCCTGAACAAGAAAAGGGTAAGAAATAGATTGCATCTTCTTGTGAGTGAGATGTGGTGGGCTATGTATTTCTTCTTGAAACCCTGCTCAGCACCCTTGATGTTTGGCTCTTTGTTTTTTGTTTTGAGTAAGTTATTGAAGTATAATTTGTTGTTGTTGTCATTAGGTGCTGTCAAGTCAGTTCCCGCTAATAGCGACCCTGTGTACAACAGAATGAAACACTGCCTGGTCCTGCGCCATCCTCACAATCGTTGCTATGTTTGAACCCATTGTTGCAGCCACTGTGTAGTCCATCTCATCTAGGGACTTACTCTTTTTCACTGACTCTCTACCTTGCCAAGCATGATGTCCTTCTCTAAGGACTGGTCCCTCCTGATAACATGTCCAAAGTACGTGAGACAAAGTCTCGCCATCCTCACTTCCAAAGAGCACTCTGGCTGTACTTCTTCCAAGATAGACTTGTTTGTACTTCTGGCAGTTCGTAGTATATTCAGTATTCTTCACCAACACCACAATTCAAAGGCATCAATTCTTCCTCGGTCTTCTTTATGCATAGTCCAGCTTTTGCATACATATGAGGCAATTGAAAACATCATGGCTTGGGTCAGGCACACCTTACTCCTCAAAGTGACTTCTTTGCTTTTCAACACTTTAAAAAGGTCTTTTGCAGCATATTTGCCCAGTGCAATACGTTGTTTGATTTCTTGACTGCTGCTTCCATGAACATTGTTTGGGAATCCAAGTAAAATGAAATCCTTGACAACTTCAGTTTTTTCTCCATTTATCATGATGTTGCTTATTGGTCCAGTTGTGAGGATTTTTGTTTTCTTTATGTTGAGGTGTAATCCATACTGAAGGCTGTAGTCTTTGATCTTCATCAGTAAATGCTTCAAGTCCTCTTTGCTTTCAGCAAGCAAGGTTGTGTCATCTGCATATCACAGGTTGTTAATGAGTTTTCCACCAATCCTGATGTTGTGTTGTTCTTCATATAGTCCAGCTTCTTGGATTATTTGCTCAGCATACAGATTAAATAAGTATGGTGAAAAGATACAGTGCTGACACATATCTTTCCTGATTTTAAACCATGCTGTATCCGCTTGTTCTATTCTAACAACTACTTCTTGGTCTATGTGCAGGTTCCTCGTGAGCAAAATTAACTATTCTGAAATTCCCATTCTTTGCAATGTTACCCATAATTTGTTATGATCCACACAGTCAAATGCCTTTGCATAGTCAATAAAACACAGGCAAACATTTTTCTGCTACTCTTTGCTTTCAGCCAAGATCCATCTGACAACAGCAGTGAGATGCCTTGTTCCACATCCTCTTCTGAATCTGGCTTGAATTTCTGGTGGTTCCCTGTGGATGTACTGCTGCAACCATTTTTGAATTATCTTCAGCAAAATTTTACTTGCATGTGATATTAATGATATTGTTGGATAATTTCTGCATTCTGTTGGATCACCTTTCTTTGGAATGGGCACACATATTGATCTCTTCCAGTTGGTTGGCCAGGTAGCTGTCTTCCAAATTTCTTAGCATAGACAAGTGAGCACCTCCAACACTGCATCTGTTTGTTGAAACATCTCAATTGGTATTCCATCAATTCCTGGAGCCTTGTTTTTTTGCCAGTGCCTTCAGTGCAACTTGGACTTCTTCCCTCAGTACCATCAGTTCTTGATCATATGCTACCTTCTGAAATGGTTGAACATTGACCAGTTCTTTTTGATACAGTGACTCTGTGTATTCCTTCCATCTTCTTTTGATGCTTCCTGCATCGTTTAATATTTTCCCCTTAGAGTCCTTCAGTATTGCAACTCGAGGCATGAATTTTTTCTTCAGTTCTTTCACCTTGAGAAATGCCGAGCATGTTCTCCCATTTTGGTTTTCTAACTCCAGGTCTTTGCCCATGTCATTATAATACTTTTCTTTGTCTTCTCGAGCCGCCCTTGAAAAGCTTCCGTTCAGCTCTTTTACTTCATCATTTTTTCCTTTCACTTTAGCTACTCTGTGTTCAAAACCAACTTTCAGAGTCTCTTCTGGCATCCATTTTGGTCTTTTTTTTTTTTTAATGGGTTTTTGCTTTCTTCATGTATATCTTTGATGTCATCCCAGACTCGTCTGGTCTTTGGTCATTAGTGTTAAATGTGTCAGATCTATTCTTGAGATGGTCTCCAAATTCAGGTGGAATATAGTCAAGGTTGTATTTTGGTTCTCATGGACTTGTTTTAATTTTCTTTAGTTTCGACTTGATCTTGCATATGAGCAATTGATAGTCTGTTTTGCATCCAGCTCCTGGCCTTATTCTGACTGTTGATATTGAGCTTCTCCATCATCTCTTTCCACAGACATAGTCGATTTGATTCCTGTGTTTTCCATCTGGTGAGGTCCACGTGTATAGTTGCCATTTACATTGTAGAAAAAAAGTACTTGCAATGAATAAGACATTGGTCTTGTAAAATTCTGTCATGTGACTTCTGGTGTTGTTTCTGTCACCAAGGCCATATTTTCCAACTACTGATCCTTCTTTTTTTCTGACTTTTGCATTCCAATGTCCAGTAATTATCAATGCATGTTGAGTGCATGTTTGACCAATTTCAGACTGTAGAAGTTGTTAAAAATCTTCAGTTTCCTCATCTTTGGCATTAGTGGTTGGTGTGTGTATTTGAATAATAATTGTATTAACTGGTCTCCCTTATAGGTGTATGGATATTATCTTATCTCTGACAGTATTGTACTTCAGGATAGATCTTGAAATGTTCTTTTTGACGATGCGTGCAACGCCATTCCTCTTCATTTTGTCATTCCTAGCATAGTAGACCATATGATTCTTTAATTTAAAATTGCTAATTCTAGTCCATTTCAGCTCACTAATGCCTAGAATATCAGTCTTTATGTGTTCCATTTCATTTTTGACAGCTTCCAATTTTCCTAGGTTCATACTTCATACGTTCCACATTCCGATTATTAACGAATGTTTGCACCTGTTTCTTCTCGTTTTGAGTCGTGCCACATCAGCAAATGAAGGTCAGAAAACTTGACTCCATCCACATCATTAGGGTTGACTTTACTTTGAGGAGGCAGCTCTTCCCCAGTTGTGTTTTGAGTGCCTTCCAACCTGAGGGGCTCATTGTCTGGTACTGTATTAGACAGTGTTCCATTGCTATTCATAAAGTTTTGCACTGGCCAGTTTTTTTCAGAAGTAGACTGCCAGGTCCTTCTTCCTAGTCTGTCTTAGTCTGGAAGCTCAGCTGAAACCTGTTCACCCTGGGTTACCTTTCTGGTATTTGAAATACCAGTGGCATAGCTTCCAGTATCACAGCAACACGCAAGCCTCCACGGTATGACAAACTGACAGACGTGTCGTGGGAGGTATAATTTACACACAGTAAAATTTACCCTTTTTAAGTGTACAGGTCCGTAAATGAGTTTTCACAAATGTGAAACAATTATAGTCTCGTAATTACCACCACATTGAAGATATAAAAGATTTTCATCATCCCAGAAATTTCCCTTCTGACCTTCCCTTGGTGTTTTATTCAGCTGAAACCAAAGTCCTGTACTGTCAAGGCTTTCACCTTGTTCTTCTCCCCCATACTGTAGAGAGGAATAAAAAAAAGTAGTGCTAGTTTCTCATCCAAGGCAAAGAATCCCAGCCACATGCTTCATTACTCATTTTTTTTTCCTTCTTCATGTTATAAATGGCTACTGTGTTTTATTTCTAAATGTCAGCTTGGGTTATTATTTTGCTGTACTACATTTTCTTTGTCATTGAAATTCCTCTTTCCAATTTCTGTCCCTTAAATTTTTCTTTCTCTTTCCAGACTGATACAAACTCTGCTTCTCTTTTTTTAGTGTCATCTTAATACTCCCATTGAGGTTGTTACCTCCTATTCATTCTTGATCATTTAAACACAAATTCAGTAGTGTTGGACTCTAGCTTGAAACCCTTCATTGAGCTGGGTAGTTTTATTCTCTCTACTTTTTTGAGATGTTTGAAAATTTTATCGTAAAAAGCGAAACATAAAAATAAGGGAAAAAAAAAATCAAAACCCATTAACTTCAGTGACTCCCCATTGCCATTAACAAAAGTACCACATGGCCTGGTCTGGTATCTGCTGACTTCTCAGCATCACTTCTCAGCTGGTCACTAGGGTGACCAACTTGTTGAGACTTTTAGCATTGAAAGTCACATCTCCTGGGAAACCCTTCAGTCCCAGGCAAATCAGGACAGTCACCCTGTGTCCCCCCTCTCATGCTATATATTGCTATCTTGCTGAACTATATTCCATTTCTCATTTGCCCCTTGCTGCTTCTCTTTCCTGAGCCTCTCCTGCCTTGTTTCCTCTGTCTGGATCACTTTATCCTCACTCTCCCTCACTAATTCCTATTTATCCTTCAGTGCATATTTTAGATATCATTTCCTCTATCCTTCCTTAAGTCCCCCAAGTCTGGGTTAGTTTCCCTGTCTATGCTCCTTGAGACCCAAGATTTTTCCTATTATAGAGCTGATCACATTATTTTATAGTTACTAGTTTACAGACTAAAAGGGTAGGGACTTAATTTTGTTTCCTAAATCTGCTACAGTCCCTGGCTTAGAGTAGACAATAAATGTGTATTTGAGGAATGAATGATTATATATCTAAAAGCATCCCTTACCTACTAGCTACTTCCCTGTTCAATTTTTGAGTCTGCTTCAAAGATCACCTTCTTCTGGAAGCCTTCTGAGTAAAGTAGCTGAAAGAGAGGGACCTACTTTTTCTGAATAGCATTGCAGAAATGGATTTATGCCATGTAATCAATGGTTAATGTATATCTTAAATACGAAGTGACTGCAGTGACAGTATATTCTTGAAAATATTCCTTTCCCTGTAGCTCTGTTGAAACCCAGAGGGATTAAGTTACCTTTCTAAGATTAGTCGGCTTGTCAGTGACAAAATTGGCACCATGTCTACATTTCTTTATTTTTAAAGTGTTATCATTCTGTCATCCCTTTCTTATTGACCCCAGAGTCCTTAATTGACCTTTCTTTTCTACTCTCCATGTGGCAAACCATTTTCAAGAATGTACAACCATATCCTTTAGGATGGTTTGTTTGCTTGCTTGCTAGCTTCTGTGTGTGTTCATGTGTCTATATCTCACATGATAAAACTAAAACTATTTAAAATAAGTTCCTTCCCACCACAATCCCCTATCCCTTCCCCAAAAGCAGCCACTGTTAATAATTTCTTGTGTATTGTTCCATATATATATATGTATATATGTATATGTATATATATGCATGCATATATATATTCTGTACATACACAGCATGTACAGACTTCACTTTGCACACATGCTTGATTTAAAATTTTTCCTCGTTGCAGATTTCTTTCCCCACGCATTAAAAAAAAGTGACTGGTGGTACATATTTAATGTTTCAGATGAGGAGAGAAGGAATGAGAATGGGAAGCTGGTCATTGAGACAGACTCTTGCAGAGGAGTGGAATCATCTGGGAAAATATCTGAACCTGTAGAGGCTTGTTATGAGTACTCTAACTTGGAAAGGCAGCAGGCAAAACCCATGGAGAAGCCTGACTATAAATGCTCCAGATGTGGGGAGGGATTCGTTCAGCACTCAGACCTGATAAAACATGAGGGAGTGCACATGGGAGAAGAGCTCTGTGATTCTGAAGTGTGTCACAGTTCTATTCTTACTGGACATCAGAAAATTCGCTCTAGAGAGAAAGGTCATCAATGTCACCAGTGTGGGAAAGCCTTTCAGAGGAGTTCACACCTTGTCAGACATCAGAAAATCCATCTTGGTGAGAAGCCTTATCAGTGCAAAGAGTGTGGAAAAGTCTTTAGTCAGAATGCAGGCCTTTTGGAACATCTCAGAATCCATACTGGAGAGAAGCCTTATTTATGTAGCCATTGTGGAAAGAACTTCAGGCGCAGCTCTCACCTTAATCGACACCAGAGAATTCACAGTCAAGAGGAGCCCTGTGAGTGCAAGGAGTGTGGAAAAACTTTTAATCAGGCCCTGCTCCTCACCCACCATCAGAGAATCCATAGTCACTCAAAAAGTCATCAGTGTAATGAGTGTGGGAAAGCCTTCAGTTTGACCTCGGACCTTATTCGACATCACAGGATTCACACTGGAGAAAAACCTTTCAAGTGTAATGTGTGCCAGAAAGCCTTCCGACTAAACTCACACCTTGCTCAACATGTGAGAATCCACAATGAAGAAAAACCCTATGAGTGTAATGAGTGTGGAGAAGCCTTCAGGCAGAGGTCAGGCCTTTTCCAACATCAGAGATACCACCACAGAGATAAACTGGCTTGATGAGGTATCCTCTCCTTATAGAAAATCAGAGAGGGATATGCTGGTAATCTAACAACACTTTGGGAAAAGTCTCTCTAACCAACTCTGGCATCAGAGAATTCTTTGGGGCCAAGTTGGAGGCTGCTTGCCTTCCATTCCCTCTCATTTTAGTTTCCTCTCCTTTGTTTTCCTTGACGTCAGCTTTGGACCACAATGTAACCTGACCCTATGAATGCCAGTAAATTTCCATTAGTCAGAAAAGACTGCCTTAAACTTGCCTAAGCCAGATTTGGCACACCCTGCATGCACAGAAGGGCCAGCTATGGCTGTTGGTTGACCTCGACAGAGAATGCAGCAACAGGTGGAACGAATCAGAAGGAAAATCATCATCCAGACCCCATTCCAAAGAGAGAGGTCCGACGAGAACCATATCACCTTCTGTTTCCTGGCCGCCATAATTCCTGTAACATCTTCCTTCTAGAATTTTCCCTCCCCAGTACGCCTGTCTGGCTGCCATCTTGCTGCCCAAATCACATATAAGCCCTGCTTTCCCATAGCTCGGGGAGTCGGATCCGAGGAACTTCCTCCCGGCTCCTTGCTCTGTGCATTGCAATAAAGTTACTTTCTCTTTCTCAAAGGCTGATGTCCAGATTATTGGCAGGTCTGAGCGCACCAGCCAAAACCTACCTTCTAGGGTTAGGCAACAATTTTTGGGACCCAATGTGGGGCCAGAGGGTCACACAGACTCTCCGTCTGGAGACCAGCACCCCCTCGACCACAAGTGCAACCTCCATTGACCCTCAACGCACACCCAGCCTTTTGTTCAGGAGGATCAGGTGGGTCTCCTACCTGCAACTGAGATGGTGACCAGCCCAAGGCACTTTTACTTTGAGAATTAGAAACTAACTCAGGTATGGACATCCACTAGGTAAGTGCCCTTGAAATTTCCCTTTTTAAGTGTAAGTGCCTGGGATTGCAGGTAGGGAAGTATCTGGAGGACTGAAAGTAGGACTAAGACATCCCCGTTAAAGGGGATTGAAGCACTGCTGAGACATCCTCGTTACTTGGTCCCCCAGTCGATGGCAGAGAATGGGCAGCCTAGTTTCTGGTTGACCTTGGTCAGGCTCCGGTTCTGGTTCTGGTCCTGAATGAGAGCGTGTATGGGAGTGAGATATTGGGAACCAACATGGTGTCCCTGAATATTCCCCCTTAGGTTGCATACTTAAAAACTGGTCTTTTGTAATGCTGCCTGGCCCCAGTACCAGTTGGAGTTTGCAAAAGAGAGGGAAAATGGGATGAAATCCCCTACGTACAAACCTTTATGTCTCTTTGGCAAAATAAAAGCCTACAAAAACAGTGTAAGCTGATGGTGCAGAGTGCAGGGGAAGAGGGAGGCAGAGATAGGAAAGCTCTGGTCCTTCCAGACCCAGAGAGCAATCCATACCCCCTTCAGCCTTTTGCCTCCACCTGTGCCTCCTCCTCCTTATGCACTTGGGGTTGTGGGACCTGGTCTTTGCATGGCACCAGCCCCGGTGGCCCTCACCAGCAGCAGCCAGTACCCCTTTGGCAGAACCCTCCGGCACCCCTCCGGTGAATTGCTTGCCAGCCCCTCATGAGTCAGGAACTCCCCGTCCTGCCCAGGGAATAGTCTCCCCAGTGCACACCCGTAGTGGGGTGCAATTTGCCAAGGATCCACCCAAGTCTCCTCAGAGCAGTTTCTGCTGAGACAAATGCCTGCCGTACTGGATCACAACAGCTAGCTTAGAGGGTTTATCTAGGTCCATACACTGTTCTCTACCACTGACCTGTAGATGACCCAAAACGCACAGCAGGTTTATTTGTGTCCATCTTTGCAATGTATCACCGTAATTGGGCTGACTGTCAGTCACTCCTAAATATTCTTTTAACTCCAGAAAAACAGAGGATGGTCTTAGAAAAGGCACACCAAGAGGCCAACAGATTGCATAACCTCAACCCTCAGAATGATATTAGACTCCCGGGACCCCAAGCTGTACCTTCCATAAATCCATGCATGCTGGGACCCAAATGATCAGCTGGGGCTAGGACAGCTAGAACATTATAAAAACTGTTTGATAATTGGTTTACTGCAGAGGGCCCCAAAACAGATGAGCCTTGGAAAAGTTCAGGGTGTACAACAAGGCCCCAAGGAAAATCCCTCCAGCTTCCTAGAATGGGTATACGAAGCATATTGGCAGTTTACTGATATCCCAGAAGACCCAGAGAATGCTAGGCTAGTAAATATGACTTTTCATCAGCCAGAGTGTCCCCGACATTAGGCGAAACTTCCGAGGTTAGAAGGAGGTCAGCTGATGACTTGGGTTGAGGGGGCCCAGGGGCTCCCCTGCAGACCATGCAGCCAATCCCCATCTCCCACAAGGATCCCCAGGTTGTGTTAACAAGGAAAGGACAACTTACTGAATTCTTAGTGGACGTGGGCACAACCTATTACTTCATGCCATCTAGAAAGAAAGAGGGCTCTTAACTTCATGTAAGAAATAAACATGCAGAAGAGATTCTGGCCCTTCTGGAAGCAGTAAATTTACCAACACTGACGGCAGTTATAATTGCCCAGGGCACTAGAAGGGAGAGTCTCTCATAATTAAAGGAAATCACCTTGATGATCTGGCGGCCAAACAAGCTGCCAGGATAGATACCCCTGCCACCTGCCTTGCTTGAAACCCTCAGTCAGCAATGTGTCACCTGTGCGAAGAATAGTCCAAAAACAGGCCCACCACCTCCTATGCCTGGGGTACAAGCCAGCAGGACCTGACCCAGAGAAGACTGGCAAGTGGACTTCATGGTTATGCCAACGGCTACAAGAGGTTTCAAGTATCTTTTAGTGTTTGTAGATACCTTAACTGAATGAGTAGAAGCCTTTCCCTGCTAAACGGAAAAGGCATCCGAGGTAAGCAAAGCGCTCCTCGATGAAATTATTCCTAGATTTGGCCTACCTTACTCAATTTAAAGCAATAATGGAGGAGCTTTTGTATCCAAGGTTACTCAGGAAGTTTCAAGGCATTTAGGAATCCGGTGGAAATTACATGCTTCCTGGAGGCCATAGTGGACTGGAAAAACAGAGAAGAAGCTTTGCCAAGAGACCAGCCTGCCCTGGATCAAACTGCTACACATTGCCCTGTTGAGAGTCCAGGTGACCCCTAGAAGCAGGCTCCAGTTGAGCCCCTGTGAAATGCTGTATGGGAGACCTTTCCTTAAGGCAGCCTGGGGATGTAATGCTTCAGATTTTCCTCAAGTAGTCCAGGAACTTAGTGTTTCCAGGTACCTTAGGTCACTATATGTGACTCTGAAAGCTATTAACCAGTATGCTTCTAGTCATATGTTCTTTCCCACAGATTGAAGTGGGAATGCGAGCCTCCAGAAGACTTAAGACTACTCTTTAAGAAGCAGCCTCAACCTACAGATAAGTGACCTACATCTACCTCTTTCTGCTAGTAGCCATTTCCACCTTATAAGTCTTCTTTGCCTGCTACCCCCAGGAGCTAATCATGTTCTTAATATTTGGTCCTTGCCTGTTAAAATTCAAACTAGGTCCCACAACAAAAGTATTAGCCCAAGAGACAGAAAGGGCCGCATAAACCAGAGACTTCATCAGCCTGAGACCAGAAGAACTAGATGGTGCCTGGCTACCACAACAGAGAGTCCCTGATGGAGCAGGAAAAAGGTAGAGTGTAGAACGCAAATTCTAGTAAAAAGACCAGACTTGATGGTTTGATTGAGATTCGAGGGATCCTGGAAGACATGGCCCCTTGGCTCTCTCTCAGCCCGAAACTAAAACCATTCCTGAGGCCAACTCTTCAGGCAAAGATTAGACTGGACTATGGGACATAAAATGATACTCGTGAAGAGTGTGCTTCTTAGCTCAAGTAGGTACTTGAAATTACATGAGCAGCTCTCGTCCGGAGGTGAGATGAGAAGGCAGAGAGGGTCAGGAGTTGTTTCAATGGACATGGGAAATCCGGGGTGGAAAGAAGAGTGTGCTGTCACAGTATAGGGAGAGCAAGTAGGGTCACAAAACTATGTATAAATTTTTGTATGAGAGACTAACTTGAATTGTAAACTTTCACTTAAAGCACAACAATAAAAAGAAAAAAAAAATTTCAACCTAGGTCCCTAAAACTCCACCCCATGTCAGCAGGAAGTAGCCAGATGAGTCACCGACCCTTATCCCTTAAGATTAAGGAATTGCTACAACTCGAGGGGGGACTGTAACCTGATCCTATGAATGGCGGTAAATTTCCATTGTAAGACTTCCTTAAACTAGCCCAAGCCAGATTTGGCCCACCCCACATGCACAGAAGGGCCAGCTGTGACTGTTAATTGACTTCAACAGCAGGCACAGCAACAGGTGGAACGAATCAGAAGGAAAATCATTACCCAGACCCCATTCTGAAGCAAGAAGTCTGACAAACCATGTCACCTCCTGTTTTCCTGGCCGCCATAATTCCTGCAGCGTCTTCCCTATGTATTCCTTCCAGAATTTTCACTCCCCAGTATGCCTGCACAGCCACCGTCTTGCTGCCAATATCACCTATAAGCCCTGCTTCCCCATAGCTCGGGGAGTTGGATCTGAGGAACTTCCTCCTGGCTTCTTGCTCTGCGCGTTACGCTGAAGTTACTTTCTCTTTCTCAAAGGCTGGTGTGTAGATTATTGGCAGGTCTGAGTACACTGGACAGAACTCACCTTCTAGGGTTTGGCAACAACAAGAGTTTGACCATAGATGTTACTGTGGAACCAAAGTTACACAGCATTCCTTACTGCAGGACTTCCCAGAGCCTTTTACATGATAAATAAGTATTATGAATCTCCAAGTAGTAGACCACCTCATGACTGACCGAGAGTTTGGAGTCAGCAGTGAATGAAGTATCCACAGATTTACAGGCTCAAGCAGAACAAGGGCAGATTGGTGTTTTTACATGTGCCATAGCAACAAGACATCTGTAAAATAAAACTAGTGATGTTTAGAAATATACCACTCTCAAAAGGGACTTAAAGTTACAGGTTAATGGTGAAAATTTCTCTTTAGCTGATATTGACCCCACCCGCCTCCGACAGCTAATCAGTGAAAGCATTTTTGGAAAGCAAAGACGATCTTTTGCTGGTTAACTGTAGAACTCGCCGTCAGGATTGGTTTCATGTGATTTTACCATTTCCCATCCCCATTCCTGCCACATTACATCGTTCATTCAAGTTATAAATCAAGGTTTTACTTAAACTGTGGAAAAGATTTCATGAATCATTTGAATGAGCCATGTTGAATTAATCAACCTGTCTTACTTAATAACCCCAGTGGCAGTAGAATGGCTGGTGCATAGACACTATTCAGTAAATGTCTGGTGGAAGAAATTGGACTTTTTTTCCCTTAATATTGATGAGATGCAATTTAAAAATGTTACTTGTTTTGAAATTCTTTGAAAGCCAAATAGTAAAGACAGCTTGGAGGAAACCATGACCTTTATATAGTGAGTACCAAAATGTCATAGTA